TCCTTTACATAGTGCTGTCGAAAATTTGTCCTACCTTTCTACTTAGAACTTTCCAAGTGGGCTTTTATATTAATCGATTTCTTAAATTTATTTAGCTGCTTCACCTGAACTTTGTATAACTTATGCATTATACTATATTCCATAACCTCCTAATATGAGTTGGTGAGACCAAGATTATAAATACTGACCTAATCAATATATCATACAGTTTTATTATAACACATTTTATAAATTCAAATTTTATCACCAGTAGGATTCGAACTCTTGTTCTGCCACTTGAGAGTGTGACAACTTACCAATTACACTAAGTCGCCACACCCTTCTTATTAGCAAATTTTAAAACTATAATATTATATAAGATTTATAATTGATGTATAATATTGTATAAGATTTTAAAAAAAGTATAAATAAATGCAAATTTTATTAAGAATATTTGCAAACTTTCAATAAATAGTCTCATTCAACACTTATTCTGATCATAATAGTAGTTAAATCATTAAAATCAGCTCAATATTTGCTAAGATAGCTTAATCATAATATTTATATAATATTTCAGATATTACAATATTGCACAAATATTATGATTAAGCTATTTTAGTGAATATTGTATCAATTTTGATGATTTAACTACTATTATAATCAAAATAAGGTGCTAAACAAGGCTATTTATCAAAAGTTTGCCAATTGTTACATTCCATATTGATCTGAATATACTCTGTTAGGAATAAAGGCTTTTTGAAATGAATTTAAAGAAGTAGCTTCTAATGATGATCAAGTAAACAAAGAGAAAACCCTCTGTTTAATCATATTTAGCATAGAGGAAATATTTTAGAAAGGATTTATAAGTAGACAAACTAAATATATTATTTAAAAAAAATAATATATATGAAGATTTTTTTATCAACACTTTGAATTCATATATAAATTTAACTAGAAAGTTGATAAAATGATAAATAAGAAATATGCAAAATTCCAAAGTTATATATATATAATTTTTAAATTCTGTGTATAGGCTGTAGTACACATATTTTCTTTTCTTTTACTCTTTTTATTGTCAAGACTTTGCATTTAGTAATAGATTGTTACTCTGTATAGATAGAAGTTTTTGTCTGGTTGACAAGTTTTCTTCTATCTAGCAATAGTTTCTTTTAGTTTTTAGTATAGTTTTAAACTTCTTAGTATTAGTATCTATTTTTTATTATATATTAGTTTTTATATTTCTTCTTTTTTTGTTATCTATTTCTCTAAATTTTTTTTTTCTTACTATAAGAAAGTATTATCAGTTTGGCAATATTTTATTGTAGGGCAAAAATCTTAACAGGATGTATAACAGCTAGCTGAGAAATCTGAATGAAGTTTGGAATAAGTTCTGGATCTCTAGAGAAGGCCAAGTATTGCAAATCAGATCACATCTGGGTATTATACTTAGGTTTGATTTATTTTAACTTAAGAGAAATAGTTGAAATACTACAATTGCATTTATGTATCTAAGGTAATTCAATTTCTCCATAATACTGTAAAGCAAATAAGATTTATTTTAGAAAAAAATAGTATGATACTTATTTACAAAATCTTATTGATTTATATAGTTTAATTTTATATCTAATTCTATACTTAATTCTATACTTAATTCTATGCTTAATTCTATATTTAATTCAACATTAAATTCTACATCTAATTAAATCTCTAACATCTTATACTATGCTATTTTATATTATACAAATATTATTTTAATTATCATATTTATATATAAGTTTCTTATTATATCTTAAAAGCTTCTTTAATAATAACATTATAAAGAGATCTACTATTTCTACCATGAAAAATTACTATTTCCACTATGAAAAATTACTATTTCCACTATAGGTTACACAAAAAATATAAAAAATACTATTTTTAAATAACCAATCAAATTTAAAATTTAATTTTTTAATATTTAAAGAAGTTTTTATTAAGTTAGGGTCTGTTGGGCTTCTAAATAAAGTTGTAGAGGAGATTTTTCTGGTTTTAATAGTGAGTAGATCATCAAAATCGGCCTGGTGGATCCCAAGATATTTGGAGTTAAAGACGCGAATATAAGGATCTGCAAATTGATGATTATACAAAGTACTAAAGACTATAATACTTTGTGTAACCACCAATTTGCAAATCTCTATGTTCGCGCCTTTAACCTCAAATATCTTGAGATCCACCAGGCCAATTTTGAGTAAAACCATTTTTTTTGATTCATGGTGTCCATTTTTTTTGATTTACTAAAAAAGGCCCATTTTTTATTGGTAGTCTAACTTGGTCACGTAACTGATTTATATAGTGTGTTACACAAACTATTTATACAAAAGTACTGTATATCGATATTAGATAAACATCAATTATGTATTATACGATTCGATTATGTGTTACACAAACATGGATTTGAATCGTAAATTACCAAATGTGTCAGATCTGAGTATAAATTAAAATTGCATAAAATATGAAGTCATAGATAATTACCGTAATATATAAAATTAGAATAATGTTTCAGATTAGAGTTTATACAGGCATAAATTGAAGTCATAAAATAATACTGTAATATATAAAATTAGAATAATGTGTCAGATTGGAGTTTATACAGCATAAAATATAAAGTCATAGATAATACCGTAATATATAAAATTAGAATAATGTGTCAGATTAGAGTTTATACAGCATAAAATATGAAGTCATAGATAATACTGTAATATATAAAATTAGAATAATGTTTCAGATTGGAGTTTATACGTGCATAAATTGCATAAATATGAAGTCAGATTAGTCATAAAGAAGTCTGCTCATTTTTACCAACAAAATTAGGTCCTAGAGAAAGTGTGCGCATTGAAGGAGTAAAGGTGACATTAGTGGAAAACTAGAAAGTGGTGTATAAATAAAAAATAAATTTTATCAAAAAATGAATAATTAAATTATAAGAACATTAATTATTAAATTGAAAGAATATAGAAGACAGAATATTTTTAAAAATGTGGTTTACTAGTAAACTAAGAGAGGACGCAGTGAAAAAAAAACGAAGCTTATAGAGCAAGTGTCATGTTTGGAAATAAAGTGATACGTTTGAATATAAGGAAGTAAGTCAGATTTGGAAATAAAGTGAATACAAGGAAGTAGATATTTGGAAATAAAGTTAATACGTTTGGAAATAAAAAAGGTGGTACATTTGAAAGTATAGAGTATTTGGAGTAAGAAAAGTGCTTTGTTAAAAATATAGGAGGTTGGCACATTTGGAATTAAAGAAGACGGTGTTAGTAGTGAACTAAAAGGAGAAACAATAAATGAAATAAAGTTGAAACATTACCTAATATACGAACGGTTAAACATGAGCCTCAAGCAAGCATAAAAAAAATAAGGTTATAGAAAGAGCATTATATTTAAACAAAGGTGAAATTAAAGAACAATTATTGTATGAAAAAAACGAGTCTTACCTGGAAAAGGAGTAATAATAACAATCAAATCAAGTGGTTATTTGTTTATTCTTACGACAATATACAAAATTACACCAATGGGTACATTACATCAAATAAATGCAAATGGAAGTATTGGTTTATCATTCAGACATGCTGTTGAGACATATATTTTGTCACTACCAATTGTGAAAGGTGCACGTTTCAAATGCCAAAGTCGACAAAAGGTGAATCAGACAATTCAAAAAAACTTTATTATCTTTAAATACAATAAAGGTGCAATTGACTTTAAAGGCTGGACAACTGTTAATGGAATGACAAAATCAACAAATCGTTTAGATGATATACTTGAACTTACAGAAAATAGTCGAAGGAAAGTTGCTCAAATTTAGCAAGGCTTGGCTCCAGATTTTTGCGTTTGGTATTGGGTCTTTTATTGTGCTGGTGATAGTAATTGTCAGCGAGAGTGTGGTGGATTTGGAAGTTGTGTGCCTAATTGTTCAAATTATGACATGAAAAACAATTTAAAAAATGGCAATGATATGTATAAATGCAAAGTTCGCATAATTACTAGAGTTATACTTAGTATGGTTGCGGAGAAATTTCCTATTCAACATGAAGGAGCTATTACATATCTTAATCTAAAGAGAAGTATAAAAGATCAGGTTATTTTAAGTCGGCGAGCAGATGGATGTACAGCAAAAGAAGTAAAACTTAAACTTCTAGCTCCATTTAATGGTGTGTCAAAAGAATGATTGGTAATGGAAGAAAAGTATGGAACCAATATTTGTAATGAAAAAAAACTTCAACAACTATTTGAACGAAGCAATAGATATATTCGTGGTGATATAGGTCTGTGGACTATATTGCATGGGTTAATTATAGATGAATTAAAAAAAAAAGGTTCTGTTCTTTATTATCAGCAAGAAGATCTAACTGCTCCTTCAAATTCACCACAACATTATTATCAACTTACTGTAAATGATAATATGTGGTTAGAACAGGCACGTGATTATGGTTCATTCTGTTTTGGTATCGATGCAAAATATGATCTTAACAATGATCGAGCACCTATTCATGCTTTTGTAGTAGAAGATTGTGGGAACTGGAATACACCCATAGGATTTGCCTTATCTAATAAGGAAAATATGCATACAATAAGACTTGCTGTTGAGGTGATAAAGGCAAATATACCTTGTCGAAACACAAGTTGTGAACACCCATATGAATATATCATATTACCAAATGATAAAAAATTTAAACGTATACGGCCATATGCAATTGAATAGAAACCTTTTGCCGTAATGAACAAACATCGACCAACAAAAGCAGCATTGAAACCTATTATTCGTGATACAGTTCTCTGTTGGTTCCATATAATGCAGACTTTTAGAAATCATTTTCGAACACAAAAAATTGATTGGAGCCTATGGTAATGTATAACTGTTAATTATATTAACTATAATTATATTACTTATATATACGCTATATTATTATATATGTAGTTATCCAATAGCATTGGCATTCAAGATTGTTGATAGATGTAGGAGTGTATCTGAAGCCAAAGAAATGGCAATCGAATATAAAAACTTTATAGATTCACTTTCGATTTCTATAGAAGCAAAAACGTTTTTTGTACGTGATCTTGAAGAGAATTGGATAAGTCAAGAGTGGATTCTTGGTTTTATAAATGGTGGACGTTTATCAAATCATGAAGATGGAACTAATGTAAAGCCATGGACCACTAATAATTTTACTGAGCAGATGAATAAAACTATTGAGGAGCATTATTTGGGCACCCAAACAGTGTTAACTTTTATTGAACGAATTTATGGCATCAAAGTTGTTCACTCAAACCTTATCAATAATTGTGGTCAGTTGGTTTTCAATGCAAGGCTTGCTACGTATTAGAATTCACGTACTATTGAGCATCAAAATGGATTGTACAGACTGCAACCAGATATAGTACGTCGTATTAACCAAGGAAAATTAAAAGTATTACAAAACTATGTTATTGAAGTTCTAGATAATCCAAACTTATTTTATGTACGTATGAGCAATTCACAGCAAAACACTTTTCGATTTCCATATACAGCAGATAAGATGAAGTTCGAAAATAATGAAG